GTCTCTGTACACAGAGAGCTGTTACCCTTCCCTTTATAGTTATGACAACCTGTCATCAGCATGGACGCATGTCCTCTGGAATGGTGGATGAAGCATGAAGCGACATATGAATCTTTAGCGCATCTGGCACATAAATATCTTGAGACGCCGGTTACAACAGTGCCATGCGAATGCCTGTTCTCACTTTCAGGTGGACCTGTAGGCTCTAAAGTTTTACATTGTTTTATTTTTGAATGCAGTTATTTTTTGTACATAATTCTACATTTGTAAGTTCAACTTTCATGATAAAGAGACGGCACTACAGTATTTGTATTAGGTGAATTGAAAAATACTATTTCTTTTGTTTTTTACAGTGTAAATATTTGTAATAAAAATACATATAAAGTGAGCATTGTACACGTTGTATTCTGTGTTGTAATTGAAATCAATATATTTGAAAATGTAGAAAACTTCAAAAAATATTTAAATAAATGGTATTCCATTACTGTTTAATTACGCAATTAATCGCAATTAATTTTTTTAATCACTTGACAGCCCTACTATCAATATAATTTTTAACTATGATTTGTATTCCAGTAACAACCAGTGTGCCAGGCACTGTCCACACACAGAGAAAGACAGTCCTTTCCCTGAAAAACTCAATCTAAAACTGAAAGTATTTAAAAAAGATATTAGTTTATTGATTTTAAAGTCAATACAAATCATAAAATCTACAAGGCTAACATTTTATTATTTTATCAAGATGCTTTGTCACACTACTTTCTCCTGCTCCCTTTTCACTGTTCTTTTTCTTTGTAAAACCTGATCCACTGAGGTACTGAGTCATGTCCACAAGTTATTCAGCAGCCACCATTCAATTCCTCAAAAAAAGATTAGGAGTACTTGTGGCACCTTAGAGACTAACAAATTTATTTGAACATAAGCTTTCGTGGGCTACAGCCCACTTCTTCAGATGCATAGATGTGGGCTATAGCCCACAAAAGCTTATGCTCAAATAAATTTGTTAGTCTGTAAGGTGCCACAAGTTCTCCTGTTCTTTTTGCGGATACAGACTAACACGGCTGCTACTCTGAAACCATTCAATTCCTGTTGATTTCAATGGAAGATGAAACCATTTACCACCTCAAAGAACCAGGCTTTTAGATTGCAAACTCTTTGGGTCAAAGACATCAGGTGATTTTCAAAAGTGCTTAAGTGACTTAAGAGCAAAAGTTTCACGGACTACACTAAGGAGCTTTTTAAAGTCCCACTCCCTTGTCTTCATATATTTGTCTGTCAAGCACCTAGTATGCTATTGTCACTGTACAAATAAGAGTCCCTCATTATTATAAGCCCTTGTGTCTTTTGTGGTTTAGGAGTATCTAGTTAATCCCTTCTTCCTGATTTGATGGTCTACACCTAACCTTCACCATCTGCTCATTACATCATCTTACCCAAATATTTTTAACATTTATTGTACATATCCTGAATTCCTCTTCATCTGAGAGCATGAATATACATTATTAATACAGATATCACATCAAGAGTGTAGTAAATATTTTTTTCCGAAATATTACAAAGAATAATTATAATTACCTTCCATGCCAAAAGTCTTTGAAGCATCAGGAAATGACTGTACTTTAACTTCTTTTCCATCTTCAGAAGCGGAAAAAACATCATTTACACTAAAATCTGAATATTGAGGTATCTACATACTATGATTATTTTTCCATAACTCTTTTTTCATCTTGTATATTTTTTAATTGTATTACAATAAATGTCAACTTCCTTCATCACAGTGGAACTGTCTTTGTAAACTATATTTGCATATGTACAATCAGTTGTTTTAAATAAGCTTCAAAAGTCTCAATTGGAGATTTCATATATTTTATTACAGTTTTCCTAATATTTTTGAATATACTTTTTTGATAATACAATGTATTGTTTTGTTTGTACAGATACAAATACTAGGAAACAAAATCTTTTCTTCTCATGAGCATGCCTAAGTTTGCTTGATTCAACTGAAATTTGTCTACCTAGAAAGTAGTCCTCTTTTCTAGACAGATTTTTAAGAACTCAATCACAATGGACAGGCTACCAATCCCATCTATCCTGCCATGCAAAACAAATACTGGATCCTAATGCTAGATTGCCACTTACTGCACAGATGAAAGAGTGAAATTTAAAGACCTGAGGACTGGGAATAGCTGGACATGAAAGAAGAATTGTTTATATGTATGACCTCTCCTCTTAGGCACCAATGAAGCTGCATGGAGGGCTGTTTTTCTAGTCTTTCAATTCGCTTTCAATTTCATACAGCAATAAACAAGTTAGTGCTACATTCATCTAGGGATGTTTGTATTAGTCAGTAATTTCCTTAAAACAACCAAATCAACTCCATGCTTAACTTTCTTGTAGAAGGGTTGAGCTCAGGGCAATTTTAATTAAGGTACTAAAATATTGCCAGGAGGAAATATCTGTTTTTAATTACATGCAAAAGAATAATAGCGATAGTGCCTGGAGCTCTATTAAGTACTTTCATTTCAAGGATCAAAAACTCAGTCTTTGACAAATGTATCTAAAATAATAATATGATTCTGATAGTTGATGAATTATGATAATTGACTAGAAACACATACCTTTTTTTGAATGTTGAGCTGGTACTTTCATCATCACCATCTTCTTGAAAGTTAATTAATATTTTATTTTTTGAAATATTTCTACCAGGTTGTTGACAAGCCCTGATTTCATTTTTTATCTTTATTGTGGTCAGAATAGGGAAAAGAGAAAACCACTTCCAGACTTTCATGTTGCAAATGACTTATCTCCCTTTCCTAAACTTAACCTAAGGACTTCTTGCTTGTTAGAGGTCATGTCAAAATGGACAGATACTGATGATTTACCATTTGGTTCAACAGCCCTCTTAAAATGTGGTACAAACTTCTGCCTCTCTGTCTCATCTATAAAAGCCAACACATTATTCCCTATATAATATTCAGTCAGTGCATTAAATCTCTGCATAAAATAGGATCAAGTTCACATATATTGTCTGTATGGACAGTGCTATTTTCTTTTAAGTACTCTATTATATATACTGTCTTTCAATGAGATGTATCTCATCATCATGCTGTCAATCAAAAACTTACAAAAATTGGGCTACTTGCTATGCTCTGCTACATAAAACAGAGGGGAACAAAATGGAGTAGAAAACTCAAAACTACATGGTGGGTGGAAGACAGATTTCTCCTGGTCACAAAGACCTTTCAAGCCCCATACATAAGAATCTTCCAGATCTAGAGGAATCAGACATTACCTTCTCACTGCAAAAAACTGAACACACATATGAAAGATGCCAGGCTACTGCAGGAGATATGCAAACTGTAATTTAGTAATATGATTGGAGTGAGTCACAGGTGGGAACAAGTGTGAATGCACAGGGCTTCTACACAGACAGTCTTGGCTTTTACTAGATATCCCAAGTATGTACAGATTCTGATCACCCCAATGATTCAGAAGTACAGATCCATTTCTGTCAACTCGTTCCCTCTTGCAAAACAATTTGGAGGAAACGCCAGGATTGGGATCTTGTGGAGTTTCATATCCCCCAAATGGGTTTTTCCTGCACAGGGGCCAATTCAGCCTATGATCTTTGCCAGTATTGCTTTTAAAGGACTTCTTTGTTGGTTGTTTCTTCTATTCCAATGCTTGCATAACAGCCAGAAGTAAACTAAGAGTTTTGGTACACTGGAGTAATCCTTAAATTGTTAGTAAGTTTAAAGAATATGGACCCTGTCTTGCATTCCTTGCACACTAAAAGTTCCCAATGAAGTCACTGAGAGTTTGGGGTATATGTATAATTAATGAGTGAGAATTGCAGAATTTGGCCCAGTACAGTAACTCCTCACTTAACGTCCTCCCGCTTAATGTTGTTTCGAAGTTACGTTGCTGCTCCATTAGGGAACATACTGGTTTAAAGTTGTGCAAAGCTCCCTTATGTCGTTTGGCTGACTTTATAAGGGAGCATTGCACAAGTTCCTCTTCTCCGCCTCCTCCCGCTCCCTTCCTCCCTCCCAGTGGTTCCCCCACCGCCAAACAGTTGTTTAGCGGCGCTTAGGACTTTCTGGGAGGGAGGGAGCGAGGAAGCTGCCCCCCCCCCGGCAGGCAGGGCCACCCGGAACGCAGGGGCTTTAGGGGCTGCAGGGCCCTAGGCTAAGGGGGCCCCGGGGCCCTGGCCTGCAGCTCTAAAGCCCCTTTCAGAATGCGGCCCTGCAAGCACGGGCCTGAGGACTCAGGAGGAGCAGGGGCAGCCACGCAGCCAGAAAGAAGCGGCGCTTTCCCCTTCAAAGCCGGCCGGAGACAAGCGGCGCTTTGAAGGGGAAAGCGCAGCTTCTCTCCCGCCGCTGGCTGCGGGGGGAGGGGCAGGGGAGCAGCTCCCAGGATCGCGGCTCCCAGAATTGCAGCCATGGGGGCGGTGCCGCGCTGCACAGAGCCACCTGCACACCCCCTGCACCAAACAGGAGCTGCCCCAGGTAAGTGCTCTGCACCTCCTGCCTGCCCCAGCCCTGAGCCTCTTCCCGCACACCCACCCTGAGCGCCCTCCCGCACCCTAACTCCCTCCCATAACTTGCAACCCCAGCCCTGAGCCCCAGGGGTAAGCCAGGGGCACCTCCCCATCACAGTACAGTATATAATGCCTTTTGTCTGCCCCCCAAACATTTCCTTGGAACCTAACCCCCCGCATTTACATTAAATCTTATGGGAAAATTGGATTAGTTTAACATCGTTTCACTTAAAGTTGCATTTTTCAGGAACATAACTACAACGTTAAGTGAGGAGTTACTGTATTGTCGCCATCCTATATTAATTTCAATGTCATATGTTTGTAAGTGAAAAATACAATGGCCAGTTAAGCTTGTTAACCACAAACATTTGAAAATGTACATAACTTTATTCAATGAGTAGTGCCACTGAGTTTAATAGAATTACTCATGTACAGAAGCATATGAAGAAACGGGCCTTAACACCACAATTCAAAAAACAAAAACAAAACAAAACCTATGTCACAGCAGCTGAGAGTTGCACAAGTTTATTTTGTGATAGTATAGCACCAGAATCCCAGGAGAAAATTTTCTCCCGGTGAAGACCCTGAACACTCATTCAAAATAACAAGGACCTTAAAGACTAACAGATTTATTTGGGCATAAGCTTTTGTGGGTAAAAAGCCCACTTCTTCAGATGCATGGAGTGAGAATTACAGATGGAGGAATTATTATACTGACACATGAGGAGAAGGGAGTTACCTCACAAGTGGAGAACCAGTGTTGACAGGGCCAATAATATCAGGGTGGATGTAGTTGAGGTGTCAACTCCAGAAGAGGAAAAGCTGCTTCTGTAGTGAGCCAGCCCCTCCCAGTCCCTATTCAAGCCCAAATTAATGGTGTTAAATTTCCAAATGAATTTTAGTTCTGCAGTTTCTCTTTGAAGTCTGTTTCTGAAGTTTTTTTGTTCAACTATCGCTACTTTTAAATCTGAAATAGAATGTCCAGGAAGATTGAAGTGTTCTCCTATTGGCTTTTGTATGTTACTATTCCTGATGTCCGATTTGTGTCCATTTATTCTTTTACGTAGAGACTGTCAGGTTTGGCCAATGTACATGCCAGAGGGGCATTGCTGGCATATATCACGTTAGTAGAATGCAGGTGAATGAGCCGCTGATGGTGTGGCTGATGTGGTTGGGTCCTCTGATGGTGTCGCTAGAGTAGATATGGGGACAGAGTAGGCAACGAGGTTTGTTACAGGGATTGGTTCCTGGATTAGTGTTTCTGTGGTGTGTAGTTGCTGGTGAGTATTTGCTTCAGGTTGGGGGGCTGTCTGTAAGCGAGGACTGGCCTGCTTCCCAAGGTCTATGAGAGTGAGGGATCATTTTCCAGGATAGGTTCACAATTTTTTACCCACGAAAGCTTATGCCCAAATAAATCTGTTAGGGCTTGGCTACACTTGCGAGTTACAGCGCAATAAAGGAACCGCGGGCGCACTAGCTCACTACCCAAACACACTGGCAAGGCACATAGAGCGCTCTGACTCCGTGGCTGCAGCGCCGCTGGTACTCCACCTCGGCGAGTGGAATAACGTTTGCTGCACCCCCGCTGGAGCGCCGCAGCACCAGTGTGAACAGGGTGTTGCATTACTGCGCTCTGATCGGCCTCCAGCAACATCCCATAATCCCCTTAAGTCAAGTGGCCACTCTTGTCTTTGTTTTGAATCGCAGCAGGAATGCGGATATGCCCTTTGAAAGCGCTGTTTCTGACAGCCGGCTGCTTATCTGCCCCGAGACAAAGCAACCATTAGTGTGGAATGTTGTGAGTGAGAGAGAGAGGCGGGGGATGATGGGGGCGGGGGGAGGGAGTCTGCTGCTGTCTGAACTTACAAGACAGCATGCTGACACACGCTCAGCCCCCCAAAAACCCACTCTCTCTCCTCCCACGTACACACAACACACTCCCTGTCACGCTCCACCCCACCCCCTCATTTGAAAAGCACGTTGCATCACTTGCATGCTGGGATAGCTGCCCATAATGCACTGCTCCCAATGCCGCTGCAAGTGCCTCAAATGTGGCCACGCCAGTGCGCTTGAAGCTGTCAGTGTGGACAGACTGCAGCGCTTTCCCTACTGCGCTCTACGAAGGCTGGTTTAACTCAAAGCACTCTACATCTACAAGTATAACCATGCCCCTAGTCTTTAAGGTGCCACCGGATTCCTTGTTGTTTTTGTGGATACAGACTAACACGTCTACCCCGATACTTGACATCATTCAAAATAATTACTCATTGTAAATCTTTAGGTAAAATTCTAAGCTGTGCCTCCTTAGTGGGGCAGTTGGGAAAGCATAGCCAGACGGGGTGCATGGTGAGTGGAAGGGCACAGGTGACTTTATACCACATCACCTTTGCATTTCTTGAACACTGGGCTGATGTGTGGGCCATCATTCTCTTACAGCTCCTTTCCATGGCACCTTTCCACAATCCAAAGTAAATGGAGTCTGGTCATGCCCTGCTCTCATCCAAAACACCACCTTCCGCACCTCTACACCAGCTCCTGCGCATGACCACCATGAAACCCCTAAAGTAAACCCTCTGAATTCCCAGCAGAGAGGACATGCCTGGTTTTCACTCCCTTTGCACCACCAGAACAACACAAAGAGCACACTTATCCCCCAGAATCCGAGCTATTATTTTTCTAAATTACATGACTATACTTCACATGAGCACCAGTGTATTTCATATTAAAAATGAATGTCAAACATTTTACCTAGACAGTTACTTTTTTCCAATTCCTTCTGTAACTCCTGAGTGGCTGGAATTCCAGTAACAGATGGAGCAGGTGCAAGATACCAATTTTTTGGCTCTTCATGTTCTAAATATCTGCTTGTAACACAGGTACATGAGATAGAAGTAGTCCTTAACCATTTCCCACCAAATGTACATTAACGTTATTAATTATAAGTACCATATTAATTGTTCCTTCCCCTATAAATAATCATTTTTTAAAGAAGTCATAGTAAATTTAAGACATAAAACATCTGTTAGTCCATGTCTTAGAAGTACATACTGAATACAGTATAAACACAAGCACAAAGTAACATTGTTCAGTGTACTTTAACCAATATTACAGAATATTA